GTCACCAAAATTTCCATTCCACCAATCTAACGAGTTCTGTTGATCGATCACGCTCTCGAAGACTGAATAAACTTTTAATAGAATTTTATTTATTTTGCTGATTTTCAAAATAAAACATTACAATAAGGGATTCAATAATACATAGGTTTGACTGCATACTATTTTGATAAACAAAGGCCACAATTATTTAATGGTTTTCTAAATTATACTATTCTTAAATTTGGTGGTGGACTAATTAGGTATTGGAAATAGCTTCCAAAGCTAATTCATATAACGTCTCTTTCTGTCAAAGATATTGGGGAATTATTCTAAAAATGACTTTTTTCCAGTAAAATTCCACGGATAATGACGAATTTCCAGTCGAAAGGTTTTGGGATTCAGAGTACTGATGATAACATCATCTGGATAATTTATGATATTCAGGATCCCATTACCATTAGTTCAGGAAGGAAATCATCGTGAGGGAACGCACTGATGACAATAATTAGGCCTACACATCAGATACAGGCACAGCAAACAGCTCGAATTTGATTTGACATGACATCTCAGAGGCTGAGCCCATCAACTAAATTAGCATATCTTCGTCTCACTTAAATATCCTTAATAGCGAGTGAATATTAATATTTTTCAGATTGCATTCACTTTTGCGGACTAATTTCTATCCTTTTTTAACATCTTTTTTCGTTCAGAAACACAAGAATTAATTAAATCCTAGATGATTCCAATGAAGAAATATTCCTCATCGTTTACTTTCTAGATTTTTTTTAGGTCAAATAGTTCAATTTATTATAAAAGATAAAAGAGTTGCAAGTAAAAAAAAATATCATAAAAAACCCGAAATAATCAATATTGTCAATATGTTCAAAGACTGATTTCAACATTTATGTTTTTGGATTGATATTAAATGGAGTCAAAATTAATGGAGGAAAAATATTGAGAATAAACATTCATTACAAATGACCCTTATCGTTATCACAATTTCATTATTATACTACTATTAATTGCAGGAATATAATATTGCGAAGACTAAAATAACAGAAAGTGATATTCCGAAAAAAAGAATATTGGAAGATTAAGAATTGGAGCTCGGCTAAAGCATCTTTTAATGTGTTAAATTAACATGACCGAATTGTATAATTGGTTTCTGTGTATTCGCTACTATATCAACCCAACCGTCTCCATTTGCGCAGCAATCTCCAATTCACTTCCCTCCGTGTTATTCTTTATGGATAAAACTGTTTGATCATCCCTTTCCTCTTCCAGTCCTCAGTTCCTTCCATTCTTTTTCGTTATTTGCCTACTGTCATACGGTAAATTAAACGACACATGTTTCGGTCGAGCATTTATTATTAAAATGTCTTTTCGTTAATTCTTTTCATTATAATAAAATTAAGAAGTTATCCGGAATTCAGGGACTAGTGCCTTTTGGTTAATATTATTATTTTAATTTTTCAAACAGTTAAAAAAATTTTCTCAGTTTCAAAATTCCAAAATATTCCTTAAATTAAGAAAAAGGTAAAGCACTTTGAAATAAATAGATTTGATTGATTGCAGGAAAGGTGCTGACATAAGTAATTGTGGAGCAGCGAGAAGTGATGAAAATTGAAGTTACAAAACTGAGTTAAAGTAGCAGTGATATAGTAGGTAGCCTGAGGCATTTGTAACTAATTGCTTCGATGTTCCATTCATGTAACTGCAATCGAAAAGTTCTAATTATACTCCCATTTCTACTTGCCCACTCCTTTTTTTAATTTACCAACTAAAATATTCACTTTTAATTCTAAATCCAATTTCTGGAAAACAATTCTTCGGACCACATATTTGATTGATGACCACATTAGTTGTAGTAGATTTACCATTACTAACACTTAAAAACCATTTTAAATTAGCTCTTTGGGGAGATGACTTGATGTGTTGATAAACCACTTTAGAAAAAATTGTGACGTTTCTTTCCACGTCCAAAAACAATTTCTTTCTCAAAACAATTAGTGTCTGATATTGATTCATTCACTTTTATCCGCTGCTCATCCATCGAGTATTGTAAATTTCGCTTTTAGTTTAATTGATTTCAAAATTACGAAATAATCATTTGATTACTAAAATTTGAAAAAGAACGCGTTTGTCATACAAATTTGAACTAAATTTCTTTAAATTTTGGGCACTCTTCCTAATTTTGTTATCTTAGAAATTATAGTTTTTTTCATTTCCTCTCATTATTAGTTCCTTGAAAGTAGAATTGAAGTTCAGATCTCTACACCTCCTATCAGTATAAGCAAGATTTATCAAACAAGCAAAATACTTGTCAATCAATAACAATCTACTTCGTGATTTGTAATTTAATGTTTTTGACTTTGTACAAATTGAGTGATGAAACACACAACGTGCCAATTTGTTCTAATTTGAAAGCTTTCTGAAAAAAAGCTTTCTAAGCTATCGATAGGATTAAATAACCATCAATAGTGGTGAAAAAAAATTTAGATAATGTACTAAAAAAATTTTTAACTGAAATAAAAAATAAAACTCTTGATAATTCAATGAATCTTAATGCTTCGATAATTTACTAATTAAAAAATTTGAAAGTTTGTTTAATTGAAATTGAAATTTTATATTTTTTATTCATCAATTACTTATGATATCCGCAAAAAAAAGTGTCTAATAAAGGGCTCACACGCAATGGCATTTTCTCATTAGTTCATTTACATTAATATGGAAAATGTAAAGTGATAATAACCACTGTTCCGGTGTTCGAAGACGATTTGTTTGTTGGAGCGCTTTAGAGATAATTATGCAAACAAACCGTAACAATTTGGACTACCGATCAATTATATTCCATTAATTTGTTTTATTTCCCTATTTTTCATTTATTACTATTTCTCTTTACTGTAGCAGAGCTTTAGTGTGACAAAAATTTTTTAAAAGTATTTTCTTCATACTATTAAAAGAAAATATTATTTGTGGCAGACAAAATGACTATTCATTTTCAAAAATTTTGCATGTGATAGCAATTAGTTATGTGTTCGAGAATCATAAACATTTGTCAAAAGCAAATTTATTTGAAAGCGAGCAATCCAGAATTTTAGTCAGGCTAACTTTGTTTATTAAATAACGTGTAGCTCCCATCGATATCATTTTGATGATTCTCCAAGAAATCATAAGACAAATCAAGTTTGTACAGTTATATGTTGGAAGAATTTAGATAACAATAAGTATTTCTAGATGAATGTTATAGAAAGTACTTTTCTAAAATTTAATTATCTTCGGCTACATGTTAAAAAAATTGATGTTTTAATTTATAACATTTAAAGCAACACTATCAAGAATAAGTGTAAGATAAATTTGAGTTTGAAAATGAAAAATTGAATTTAATTTCCAAACTTATTAAATTTTACAATCCTTTCGCATTATCCAATCCATGAGATGAAGTGAGATGCATTTGTAATTGCTCCCAACGAATGAAATATGAAAGGCACGCCCACAACTTGGCACAGGCCCACCTCCTGACAATATGAACAAAGCGATGGCACTTCTTATTGAGATTAATTTTTGACTCAAAATCTTCTGAGTAAAACGACTCGCAGTAATTCAGGAATTCGTTTTCTTCTTTTCATTCATCCATTCATCATATCCTTTCCCTTTCATTTATAACATTCTTCAGCTTCTTTCTTCAATTAATAACTTTCCAGACAAATTCGCTATCTGCTCATTATTCTGTATCATTTGAAAATTACATTTTTTTAAATTTGCCACTCTTTATAAAAGCAGTAAATGCACAATATGAGTTTTTTGGGAAACCATTCCATATATTGTAATTAATGCATTTATAAAACAATTTCCCAAAAGTATTGTAGTTTGATGTAATGCTCTTTTATAATATTAAATTTTATAAACTCTATAATTCTTCCAAATAATTACTAGTAGTTTGAAGTAAGATTTAAACTTAATAAAGTTAAAAAATATGATGTTGTGAATGGTTATACGATATTTTGTGGTATTTTGGAAAAAAACACTTAAACGAAAAATCAAAATGACAATAAACATCTTATAAGACTTGACTTGAAAACCGAATGGTCTGACAATAACATTCTGTAAGACTAATTCTATTAAATGCTAGAGAAAAATATCTTTGCAATAAGCATTTTGAATGAATTATAAATTTTTCATTATGGTAATTTTGAATTCTATAGTATTAACTCAAGAATGAATAATATTAGTATTGCCTTTCACACCTGAATACAAGTTAAGTGCAAAGGGCTGATTAAATCATAAATTGAGAGACTAATCGCAATCGCCTGTTCTAATTGCTTACTAGTGATCTACTGTGCTAATGTATCCAATCCTCACAATACCACTAAGGTACCAATTAATTACCTGTTACTGCCCCATCATTATTGCTGACACAGCAAAGCGCACTTCTCATCTTTCTTCTTGATCCAGTCCAATTCATTTTAATCCAATCCTTTTGTTAATGGTAAAGGTACAATAACAATACTTTTGTCAGCTCATAGCTTCAGTTCTTCCTTTTCCAAATCAAAAAGTCTTTATGTCGCATCTTTTGAATTTTGATTGGCTAAACTTCGAAATGTTCCGATCATTTATTTTTTTGGTTTTAACTAATAATTCGAAAATTTCTACAGTTTTATGTTTAGTCAAACCTTATCATTTCTACATTTTTTGGCCCATTAAAAAACTCCATTTTGATTTCATTTTATTAAGCTAATGAAGCACAAATTAAGATTATCTTTTATGTACTGCTAAAATGATTGCTAGGAAATCAGTAAGTTTGTGAATAAACAGAAAAAACCATGAAAAAGAGGCATGAAAGAGAAAAAATCAAAAATGCAGATTTTATGTATTGTTTCATATTAATCAGCCTGATTTCCCCGATTTTCAAACCTGAAAAAATTTGAAAAAACATGAATTTGATAGATAATTTATAAAATTATCTATCAAAACCGCATTTTTTCAATTTTGACTATGCAGAATTTGGTGTACAACTGAAAATGATGGCTGACAGTGAAAGTGGCAAATGCGATGAAAAAGGAAACAAAATTCAGCATTGGATACGTGCCGATCAAAGCAAAATTTATAATACAATTGAAGAGACTGTTAAATCTACTTCAAGTATGACATGCTACGATATGAAGTTATTTGGATTTCATCCCGAAATCGAATCATCAATGTTTAAGAAAGTTTCATGCTACATAGGCACACCTTCTTTCTACAGTTTGAAAGTGGCTAATTTTAGGTAGTCATCAGGAGAGAAGGAATAATCCATTAGAAGGTGCAAAGAGGAATCGATGCAGGTTTTCCATCTCAGATATATTGAGCGACAAACATTCAACAAACCGAACTAACATGTAAATGAAATATTTACCTGTATGCAAGAATATGTAAACATGAAAAAAATATATGATATTTTGCTTATCAAACAAATATTTTCTTTTAAAAATTTATTTAATTGCTGACATGTAAAATTTTGTTAATTGCTGTTAATTTATTATTTTATAATAATCCAAGTTTCTTATTCAATAAGTATATCCTATATCATAGGAAGAATTAGAAAAAAATTTAATTAGGCAGAGAAATAAAGGAAAATTTTTTACAATAATTCTGAGTCTTTACTTATCGGTAAAACGACCTATCAAATTCTCATTTGTAAATTTGAGCTAACTGCTAGCATCGTGTATTCCAAAATAAAGCATTACTTAGGCGCATTAAATGGCGAACTTCATGTATATGTGCTCGTTATCGCTTCATCTCAGTAATAATAATTATAATAATGAGCATTTTCATTGCATCATTTACAACATTTTACGTATAAGAAATATTGAACATGCATGAATATAATTGAGTTATGTGAATGGTACGCTGAAGATATTTAAAATCAATTTTGCCGTTTTAAAAATTTTAACAGTCTAAAGAACTTTTTGATATTAGCACAACGCTCAATATTTCAGTTTTTTCAATGTTTTTCAGTACAGTTACAAAAAACTTTTAATGTTTGATTGGCTTAATTTAGAGGTGCAATTTGAAATGTTTAGGATTGAAAATGTGGCCTCGAAAAACTGTATCACTACTTCTGCTACCAAAACGGGAATTGTTTCGGTCTCACTTCCTGTAGCAGCGAGTATTAGTGATGAAGGAACATCGTGCATCAGTTCTCAGTTATCAAGATATCTTCATAGCGGTAACTTTAAATTATCATTATTCAACTGTAATTATTCAATTAATAGGAAATTCAAATTTCTGGTGGAACTAACCATCGTTTTAAAATAATGAACTTCTCATCTAGCTTTCAAATAAGCGAAGAAAGTGTATGTGTAAAAAAATCTTGGGATCCGGATAAAAATAAATTGAAATTTTTTAAATATATGAAAAATTTAAAGGTATCTTACAACAGTCGACACATAATCCGTGGTTTCAACCTTGGTTATCTACAATTCGTCCCTCAATTGCTCAACAACATAATTTGGCACATAGTGATAACAAAAAACATACAGAAAGAGTTCATGAAATAAGTGAGTAGCTTTGATGTGTTTTTAACAGTTCTTCAGTTTTTCAATTTTTTTTCCAAATAAAATCAGTGCATACTTGTAATTCAATAAAATTATAATAGAGGACATTAGAATGCTTTGCAGAAAAAAAGATTCTAATAGAACCAGGAAACCTATAATAAAAAAAAATATTTTGTATAATAACCTTTTCTCACCTTTTTTCTATAGCACCACTCTGTTGGAATAAACATCTCATATTACTTTTCTGATAACTTGAGAATTTAAGAATACGGTTAGTGGAAGACCATTATTTTTATCCAATTATTTTAAGATATTTCTTTGAAGTATATCTTTCTAACTGAGAAACTGCCGCTCCTCTTTTCTCTTTTTTATTCCTTTCTCCGTTGCCGCATGAATGCAATATAGAAAAGAACGAAAATGGTAGGAAAAATGTTTAAGTCAAGAAAGGAAAAGAACCTGAACATACTTCATATCATTTGGGTATTAAATGAAATAAGTCGGTACTTCACAAAGGACACGGTAACTCCACTCATTCGGATAATTTTCGGGATGATTTCATTACAACATCATCATCCATTCAGGCATTCATAACAAATATCTCAACATATGCAGCAGACAAGTAGAAAAACATGTGTCAGATAAATACAATGGAATAATTATAGTAGTCAGATTGTTATCTTCTTATCTCTTCATTTCTTATGTTTATATTTTCGAAGAAATCATATTAGTTTTGCAAAATATTAAGCCGACAAATTAACTTCCCGATGTTCCCATACAATTTTTCTTTTTTTTTTACTTACTCTTTGCCGTTGCTCATCACCTAATTAATTCAGTAGCCATGTAACAATGAGCAAATCTCATCATTACATGGAGCATTACTCTTATGTACTGCTTCTCTTCATTCCACTCTGAATTTGTTGTGCTTGCAAATTAATTTTTAGAAAATTTAATTCACAAAATGTTAGTTGCTTTAAATTAGCTATTTATCTTTTTTTTTGATTAAGTAGTTTGTGTAAAACCTTTTTTCGTGACATCAAAATTATTTAACATTTTTGTCCTGCTTTTTCTGCCTTAATGTTGTTCTCTATAAAAATTATTCAAAGATGACAAATCTATTATTTTGTCTTCAACTTATCGATTTCATTGAATTTATTAGTTTGTACTTCAAGATTTTCATTGATAAATCCAAAATTATAAAAAATACAAACGCTTAAATACAAAGCAAAAATTTTAATTTAATTCAAATCTTATTTAGTCTATCTGGTATGAAAATTAATCTTTTTATTTTGATAAATCTAACTGTTGTAGTCCATAGTCTTTAAGAACTTCATTATCATAAAAAATGAAAGTGATTTTAATTCCAATGAAAATTGAAATTTTATTTATTAGTGGATCACTTTCATTATACGCTCATCACTAATTAGCTTGCCATAATTAATTTGAATATTGTTTTCTTTCTTTTTTTTGCTTGGCTGAACACAGTGGGAAGCGGGATATTGTGATCGCTGCTACGATGAGCCTTTCTCTCTTGTTCGAAAGTGAGCCATCTTTGACGACGGATTACTTCCAATAATCAGATAATTACCGGTCAGAGGCTATTACTGTAATTTTAAGAAATGTTATAAGGTTCAGTGGTCACTGTACATTAAACTTTCATTTATTTCTAATGTGATATTTAAGAATTAATTCTCTTTAAGTAGTAAAATTTTGATGATAATGCTTTTAATAATACTTAGAATTATTAAAATCTGAAATAAGACATAAAATTATAATATTTCAATATTTCAATAGTGGGAAGTTATCAACAACAGGGAAATGTGTTACACAGATGTGAGCCATGTCTGTGTTCGTTAATGATGCGTGTAGACATTGAATTCACTGAGTTATCCTTAAATTTATTACCTTCTCAATATCGCTCTTTTTCCAACACCCTTCTAATTGTTCAGTTCATTTCTGACTTTGAACAAAAGGCTTTCATAATTTTCACTTCGCAACCATTTTAAAATATCCATAAGAAGCTGTATATAGTAATCTGTTGCGCATTGTCAACGAAATTACCGTATTCCTTCATTCCATTCATTGAATTCAAAAAAAGAATTAATTTTTGATATACGGCCAACAAGATAATGATAATAAGACTTAGAGCTAGCAGATAACTGATTTCTACTCAAACAAGTAAATCACCTAAAAAAGAAATCAGCCGCATTTTTTGCAACTTGAAATAACTCTCTTCATTCAACCTATTAATAAATTGATCTGCCCTGAATATTCTAGTTGCCATAAAAACTAAATGATTTTAGTATTAATAAAAAAAAGCAATGTAATAAAGTGTTTGACTTTGAATTATTCATTACCAATATTTTTGAGGAAATGAAGCGTTTATGTTCATCAAAGCATAGACAAAATAATTCCTCTTATCCTTGATTCTTTTGATGCTCTTTAATTTTCATATTTGCCTTATTATGCAAATTGAGGTCATTTAGGTTCAAAGTTAATCCTTTCAAAGATTCAAAATGATCCCCCAATGTCGCTTGTTGAGTGTCTCGGGGCATTCTTCATAGATATCCCTATGAAGCAGATAGCGTTAAAGATCACCAAAGCAAGCTGCATTATTGGTACAGCCGCACCCATACATCATAAACTGTCCAATATTTAAATATTCTAACTCAGTAACTGCTACAAGAAGAGAGTTACAAATAAACTTTGTTAAAGGTGCAAATTTGAGATGCGAATTCTAGATGGCTCATCATCAAACAATTCACTTCCGTAGAGTTCATTTCCTCTAACGATATTATTGAAGAGGAGAACACTTTTATGATTATGTAAATTCTCTTAATCTAGCTTTTAAAATTTCCTGTTTCTTCCTGCATCCATCCCCAAAATTTCAATTGTTAGATGAAGGGAGAGATTCAAAAGTGAAAGAGACTTTTAATGATTTATTTACCTTTAATTTAATTATGCAACATGTTATTCACTGTCATTATTTGTATTATTAACCTGAAAATGTTATCGTTGAATAATTTTAGTATCAGCTTCCACGAAGGATCTCTTCCAGTTAGTATCGGCTTATTCACAGCGAAACAAAAATCTACAATATGAAACAATTCAGGTAATTCCAGACGGTAACAGTGTTACTGGAAGTTCACCAGAAACTCATTTGGTATGCTCATCATTTTTAAAGTTAAAAATTAAAACACACTTTCACATTTTTAAACAGCAGTTTTAAAATAAATCAACCCGAAACTTTTCGAAACCTAGATGATTCCTTTATTTAAGCTTTTAGAGAATTTAAAATCCCTTTAACATAAAAATTCCTACTAGGTCTTATCCAGTAACTTTCGATACTATTTGGTTTTAAAGATAGGTGAGGCATAAAAAATATTTTTTAATAAATGCTATAAATTTTACAGGGACAGGATTCTGACAAGAACTGTAAAGAATTAGTTTAGAAGCAAAAAATCATAATCAAAAAACAATTCATAGTAATTTTTCTCAAAATGATTGATTAATACTCACAAATTGTTTTATCATGGAGTTTTAAGCGAATTGAGTGTATTTCGATTGCTGTAGAATGATGATTTCAAAAAGGTCTGGAATTAGGTGAAAATATCTTTGATCCTTGTATGTCTTCATTTTAATTCTGACTTCCGTTTTTCCATATTTCGAAACGGCAATCAAAGGTAACTGATAATTCAAAAACAATGACCGATGCAGTCGACGAATTGGGCAGTGACTGTGACGATGATAACGATGATGATGATGATGATGGTGATGATGACGACGATGATAATGATGATGGTGACGATGATGGTGACGACATCGCAATACGTGCAAGTGACGATGAAAGCACCATTTTGTTATCTGGATCTACCATTCCACGCAAGAAGAAAACTCGAACAGTTTTCAGTCGTCAACAAGTGTCCCGGCTGGAAATGACCTTTGATATGAAGCGATATTTGTCCAGTCAAGAACGTGCATATTTGGCTTCGACTTTACATCTTAGCGAAACACAGGTAAATAAAACATAATAATTAGTGAAGTTTCAATAGCAACTTACAAGATTTTGTTATTGTAGAAAATTCAAAATTCTTTTCTTTTTTAATAAAAAATATTCCGTAAGACAGATCTGCAATTTTACTACTCGTTTTTTCTGAAATTTGGGTGGCAAGACTTTCTCGCTAATGTCTTAGATGTTAGATTTTCTACAGATCAGTTCCACAAATCAAATCACATAAATAATACCCTTCATTGTTTCCATTCTGATACTTTTCACTCGTTATACAATTCATTCCCTGTCTAGTGACATTTAAAACTCTTCCTCAGATAATCTTCAAAGATGAAACTGAGGACACTAATGATACAAACTTTACATCTTCGGTGTACAATCATCATCTTATAAACAAGAAAAGGCTAACATGCTATCTATTCGATACTGCTCATTATGACTAATAAGTAGTGATCACATGCAATTTACATTCTATTATCAGCATATTATGACAGCTGTTATCAGCAATATAATTATGACTAAAATGATTTATCTTCAATCACTCTGGCCACACCAGTATATATAAATTATTCTCCACATTATGTATTTTATTTATTATATATTATTATTTGGCATCAGTGTATAACAATGATTTATTGTAGGTGAAAATCTGGTTTCAAAATAGGCGAAATAAGTGGAAACGTCAAGCGGCAAGTGACGTTGATAGTTCAAGTGCGATGAATATTCATCGATCACACATTTTTGCCTCAAATATGCAACACATTGGTGATGCATCAGAACGTTTCTCCGGAAGTATTGCAGTCACAAATAGGTTTAAATAAATTTTTTGTAGTAACTCATCACATACCTTTCTTATTGCGAACAAATTTATAATTAGTACGAATGTTCAGCTTTTTGAACGCTCAACGTAATATTATAACTCTTTTTATCTGAACTCACTTTCTCCGTTAGACACTGTGCTTCCCTCTAAATGTTTTTAAAGACAAACTTCAAAACTATTTCAGCTTACCGATAGCACCTCTGCCAAACATCGCTCCATCACTACTACACCCAGCAATCCTATTTCACTCAAATTCAGCGGCGACACCAGCATCTGCAACATCGGCGTCACCACAAACAATCATCAATTTCAATAGCGTAGAAAATGCGGCAGCTGCTGCGAAACTGTTTTATAGCACCTATGGCAGTGGCAACACGGGAATTACTGGCCCTAGCGCATAGCTGGCATAAGATGATACTACTCTAAGATCATAACGCGGGTACTGGCTGATTTTTTCAAGATTCCTGAAGTCGTATGCTTTTCATTAATTGTACAACTTCCTTTGTGGCCAGGTCCACATAAATTTCTTTATGTAAGACGTATGCCCTCAAACACCAACTTAACTCCATAAAAATAGGTACCAGCCTACAACTATCGCCACCGAACAACAAAATATTGCTGAATTGCTTCCGAAAAACCAGTTGAGTAATAGCAAACTATTTTTCTGTTTCATTATTTTGGCAACATCAATTTAGTTCTAGAAAAATTTTTCCAATAGTTCAGGTCTCAATTATTACGGATGTGATCAAATTCATGTAAACATTCTTTTTAACAAAACAAGAACAAATTTTTAGTGAAACAAGAACAAATAACATTGGGACTCAAACGCTACCACCGTCTTTGTCACTTCACTTTCATTGTCATCCATCTCAAATCACTGGGAACCAAACTATACTAAATCTCCTACGCTCGGCATATAAACACCATGTTACTACATATGATAAAAAACGCAAAAAACAAACATTTCAGTAATAAAAAGGGCAAACAAAAAATTAAGTAATGAAGTACGGAAAAACGATTGACTTTAACTAAGAATAAGTTATATCAGACAACCAAAAAGAAGTTCAGAAATGTAATGCACGGAAACTGATGCGTCAGTTCATGAACCAAGAACCTGAGCAATGGAAATTCACCACATTAACCACATAATCAAGGAGCAGAATGCAATGTATCCAGAACTAAATAAATTCTCAGGTATCACCATTTATTACCATGAATGTCCTTATGAATTAAAAATAATGAACGAAAGGGAGGAAAATGACTAACAACAGTCATTATCCATTTTTCCGTTCTCCATTATCTTAGATTGAATTCCTTATTGACTATGATAATGATTTTCTTTTTGACAGAAAAACTAGGAGCGCAAATTCTTAATAAACAGAAAAAATTCAAGCCAATTACTGATTCATCAAACCACACCCGACAATTACTAACAATTTTTGAACAAAACTATTATATACAAAAAGAATTTTGAGATGATTCATCGCCAGAAAATAAAACTAAACTGAATTAGAAAAAAAACAGAACCAAATTCGAAAAAAAGTTGTACTTTATTGTGACATAAAGCAAAGGCCACTCATATTTGCATTTTATAATCTTTTAGTGGCAGTAGGAAGAATGATGAGAAAAGAATTTAATAAATGTGTGGAGTTATAAAATCAAGTTGGCGTTCATTGATGAGCTGATCTTGCAGCCCAAAGTGGATCATTTATTTCTTCAAGCTCATGTTCTGTGCTAACTGTGATTGAGACACCTTGAATCGTAGCCTCGCTTTCGTAATGCGCTGTCAACTCAACCATTGCTTGCTGTTCTCTGAAATTTAAAGAAAAATTAAATTTCATAAAACATGTTAAAATGTGTATCTATGGCACAAGAGCTGAGATGATCTACTCTCACGAAAAGTTCATTCCCACACGATCACGCACCAAATCTCAATGATCTGCTACCCAGGATTGAAGTTAGCTCCTTAAAAAAGACTATTCTACTCTACAATGTTTTATTGTCTTCAGCCCAATTTAGAAAAACATCTAACATCTTGACTACATCAGAATGAAAATTGTTTCATGAATTCAAAACAAATCAAATTCTCACATATTTATATCAGAAAGACGAGAGCTTGTTTGTCGAATCGTTTGTAACTGCCGGGCTTGTTCATCTTCCATTATTTGTGCAAATGAATTTTCACATGTCACAGATTCATCCTGAAAGATGTGAGAGTTAATAAATATGTTCTAAATTTATAAGAAGAGACAACTTTTGGATATTAATGGAGGATACATGTCCTACGCAAGCAGATCGATCAGCTTGATCTATAGAAATCGAAAATCTATTCCCAAGTTTTATCGTCAAAACTTATGGCAACCATCTCGAATTTACATTTAACCTCTTAATATTTTGAGACATTTTCAAAAATCACTGAAAATTTGATACCAGATGCCAGGAATTCGAAGTTTCTCGCTGAGACCCACAAGGATTTTTTGATGTATTGCTTAGTAAAATGCAAGGATCTTTCTTCTCTTCTTGCTTACTTTCACCAGTTTTCTCTTCTCCTTCATCCGAAAGAGAGATAAGCGAAGGAATACCCCTAAAATAACGAATGAAGGGTATCAAGTATTTTTTAAATAAAAACAACTTTTTTCTGAAATTTAAATTCGCCTAAACATATTAGTCTCGCTTCGGAACATTTGACAAATGGATTTCTTCGCTGAAACTGATGTTATCAACTCCCGTATTTTTTGATTCCGACTCAAGATTTCTGCAAATAAGCTATAGTTCTAAGCAAGCTAAAATATTCGAAAATAATTGGGATGAAATCTGTGTAAAAAAATATGTATCGATAGAATTTTTTCTCTAGTGGAATAGATATGTTTTAAGTTAAACAGTTCAATATGTATTAACCCACTTCTCGCAGACTTGGTTTTTCGCAATTGCAATCTGTAAATATATAAATTTTTTAGTGTGAAAAATATTTAACATTTTAAAAAAATGAAAAATAAATTCTACAGAGAAAATGAATGAACAAAAATCTCGACATATGATAATGAAGAATTTTTTTCGATGCCTATGGGTTTAAACGCAACCTTGGCGAGAATATTTGGCGTATGAACACGACCACTATCATTATCATTTTTCTCGTTGGTAGTAGTGTCACCATCTTTCTCATTAGAGTTAACATTTCCCTCGTTGGTAGAGTTATCATTTTTCTCATTAGAAGTATTATCATCTTTCTCATCGACAGCGTTATCATTTTCCTCATTGGTAGCGTTATCATCCTTTTTATTGGTAGTATTATTCCCGTTGATAGAATTATCATTTTTCTTATTGACAGTGTTATCGTTCTTCTCATTTGTAGCGTTATCATTTTTTTCATTGGTAGAGTTAATACTTTTTTCATTGGTAGAATTATCATTTTTCTCACTGGCTGCGTTATTACTTTTCTTATTGGTAGCATTATCATTTTTCTCACTGATAGAGTTTTCATTCTTCTTATTCGTAGTATCAGTATTTTTAATTTTCTTATGGGATCCCTTCTGTCGTCCACATTTGGTTTCCACACTAACAGCTGAAAATGAAACAAGAATAATTAAGAAGATAAAGAGTCTTGACACTTGTCTAAACTGGAATTATAGCGATTCAAGAACCCATTTTAAATGAACAGAAAATAAAAGAAATACCATTCCCTGCCGATCTGATTTCTTTCCATCGTTTCACCGAATGCAAATCATTCTTTATATTCCTGCACAAATCAATTAATTCCTTAGTATCCATCGGTTCTTTTACAACTTCCATTACATCCATGATGATATTTCTTACAGTTTGCTCTGGAACTACCAATCTCGTAATCCTTGATTCCTGAAAAGTCTTAATATGCTAAAGTAAGAAAAAAAGGTCGGGTTCATCATAATAACATGCTGGAAAATTTTCAAAACCGAAGCAATTACAAATTCATCCACACTCCGAACTATATTGTCCAAAGCATATGAACGAAAAGCGTCCTCAATATATGCAATTTCATCGAGTAATAGCTCATTAACAAATCCATTTTCCAAAAGTGTCGGAAACACTGCTGCGCAAAGTTCGCTCAAACTTTTATACAGCTCTACAGATGACAGATAACGAGCCAAAGCATAGAGCTGTCGCAATTTCGACATTTCAACTGCAAACATCAATTTCGTCGGCAAAATGTGAAATGAAAATAAAGTATGTGCAAGTATATGCTAATTTATCGAACATATTAAAATATACAGTTATTCGATCATAGAATCTGATACTTTTGAGATCCTATTACAATACAGTGAAATGTGATCTAGACTTACATGGAGGTTTGAATAGTTCTTTCTTGATTGCGTTGAAGAAGTTTTTGCATATTAGCTTATCCGCAAATATTAATAATTCCGTTAACTGCAACAATGGAACGGATAAAAAAATTTCTTTAAAAAAGATAAAATTCCACACTCATGTGACAATCGTAGCCATCAATGTTGATTATAAGCGGCATGATTTGAGGTAAATAAGCTGTACATAAATTTTTGAGTTCATAAAATTTGTTGTTACTAGAAATAAGAGAGACGCAAGAAAAAAATGCAACGGTGTAAGTCACCACAAAATCGCTTCCACCCATTTCTACCACGCAGCAGAGTGAAAAAAAAATGCCTCAGAATGAAAAGTTACAAGTTGTCATCGCTTTTTCAAGTCTCTCCCGGGCTGTCACAGTTGAATAATGATTTATAATTATCGTCACCCATCAATGCTAATAATTTGTTTCCAGCGAATTCAGACGATTAATGAATATGATGTGCTCTTTTAATCTAAATTATCTTCCAGAGAGATAATACTCACCCAGTTTTCCAACCGCTGTTTCGTCATAACCAGGTTTAATAATTAAATTTCAAGAAAATAGTGAGCTACAAAATCTTATACTTGCTCACTTCTTGTATGCTCAATTCTGGAGGTAAACAGTGGTCGTAACAAAAATCCAAGAATATTTCAATTATCTGTGGCTTCACTGTAATTCGGATTTCATTCTGTCCTCCTGACCATCTTTCAAAATACGATGAGCAGACTTCGCTCTCATGTTTGAGTATTTCCCTAAAATAAAAAACTGGGCTATATTTAACTGATTCATGAATATTTAGATCCTAAATATCGCTGTATTAAGCAGCAATTTTCTTTCTTACACAACTAAACCACAATTGGAAATTTACTGATGATTAGCCTGATTGCGCTGTACCACAAATGTGATATATTCCGTCAACAAGGATTCTGTTTTCGCGCGCGAGAGATAAAATAAATCGACAGATGTAAATTTAACAGCCATGTACTACGTAGCACGGATGACAATTCCTACTTTATGAAGAAATGCTGTTGAAAAAAGTAGTGAAACTGAATGAAATATGACGAAATAATAAAAATTTACAGAAAAAATTCATAGCGTGCCACTTCATGACCTTCCTCATTCGTACATATGACTGTAGCTTCGTTACAACTTGCAAACTGCAAGAGTATTAATTCATATTTACCGTTTCAATAACCTTACCGTCCTCACTATGAAAGATCAGATATACTGATATACTAGTTTCATTCCAGAGAATGATTTTGAGAAAAGAACTGAACGAGGTCCATCACAGGCTTTCATCGCCTTCGCTTGAAAAGCAATATTTGACGGAATTAATGAAAGTTTTGATAACTATTATAAAATCCTATTAAAAACTAATATGATTTGTCACCTGAAAAAGTCTACCAATTACAACCAGTGACAGGTAGGTTTACTATAATTCTTGAAAGCACTACAAAAGGATGATAAAAACAAATCTGGATGTATAATAATTTTACTGCTGAAGACTGTCTTGAGGAACTCTCAACACAAGGTTAATTTTTACGATCACAGAATACAAAGAACTTACTTTACTTAAATCAATTCCCAGAAAAAAAGATCGTAAACATTTAACTAACTTCCACTTCAGATACATTTTCTGTATCATGATGGACCGATCGTGTGTCGATCTCATACAAATTCAATATTTTGCTTTTTCCATCTGGTGCTAAAAAAGCACTTTTTGCTGGGAAAATCCCACGTAATCGATAAACCTTTATCTTTACCATGTACTCAGTAACCCATGTAGAACCTATAAATGCACAACTTCGGCATTTTCAAGATCAAAACATTAAAAAAGTAGTGTAAAAAACAGACATGACAGAAATTAAGATGTCTGATTCCAATGTGTCTGATTAGTGTTTAGTATTTCGGTCATTAAAAACGGTGGACTATCTTACAATGATAGGAGAAACTACAATCGATGACGAGTTGTATTTGCTTGGTTTTATTTCCGACCAGACTCCCCCAAGACGAAAGTTTTGTGCTTCGTTTTTCTATTAATTTCTTTCTTGAAAAATGTTTAAATTCCCTAATTACATCAAAACTATAAAAACGCATACCGTTGCAAACGTTGCCGAAATATGGGTCCGAAAACAGTGTATAATTTTCAAAAGTTCCTTCGTAAACGTCTCCCATCTCAAAAACAGTGGTTCAACAAAAAAAGAATCATGAAATGAATAGTTTAACTTTCACAGCAGAGCTTTTGAAGCAAATTTTGCCGCCACTTTTTTCGGTGTTCTTAATATACAGTGAGAGAACTTACGTAGTCAACGATGATTATACGTCCATTATGAGTAATATCCGCACTTATCACTTCAATTATGCTTCTTCTCATCAAACTGTTATAAAAGGATACGGATCGAAGCAGACCATGACATTCTGAATCGAATAAAAATATCCCTGATGTTAATGGTTGACCACGACTTTCGTAGAAACACTTGTAACCAGAAAACACAGCACCCTACAATGAGAACCAATTAAAAAAGCAGTATGATTTATAGCGCCAGGTTGAATTTCTAATCGTACAAGTAAAAAAGATAAGATGAAAGCTAGCCGATCAACAATTTCAAGGTAACTTCACTACCATGCAACAAATTTATAATTGTTATGTTCAGATTTTTTAATATTTCAATAAGGTAGGTACACGCAAACGCATCAGTAACTCGATGCCTATAATAAATTAAGATTATAATTCAAAACAACAATGCACAGCATAAATGACTGCAGACAAAAAGTGGAAAAGCATACCAAATTTGGAGCATAATAAACCCCAATGCATCGCGTAACATGCACAGTACTGGTGATGTAATAGCTTTTGCCATCAACTTTGATCGCTATCTAAAAATAGAGACAAGGATGCCACTACTAAAATACTGGTTATGAATAATGACTAAACAGAATATAACCGTTGAGGAAATTTAGGTAACCCTAAAAAATCACGAACTGCTTTCTCTGATTTCCAAAAATCACCTTCGATATGTTCCGGTTACAGTATATACGAACCATACATGAATCCGTGACTAAAACGGATGACGTTCGGTAAGCGCAATTATTTTTAACATATTTAAATGTATTGCCTGAATATCTTTGCCACAAAAAACCATTCGCTGTTCCAGTAACGTAGAAATCGAACTGAAAATAGCAACGTAATCACGTGAATCTTCCAAAACTTCAATAATTCCTGGCACAACGCTTCCATCAAATGCAACTTTTTTTCGAATCAAAATTGCATAGAAAAGTAGGAAGGGAACTGTTGAATTTTTTTAATATGTAATACCTATGGTTGAATGGAAAAGGATACGAACATTACTCATGACGATTACTGAACATGCTTCAGCTGTCGAACAGGCAATGATGTAATCCCGACTTTCTTTAAAAAATTTAGCGACTGTTGGAGTTAACACAAGCTGTTTTGTGCCCAATCCTAGTTGTCCCTTATCATTCAGTCCGAACACTATGATCTGAAAGGACTGGTAGGATTATATGTAGTATATATGGTTAAATATAGAAACATTCCTAAATGAAATCTTTGAAAGCGACATTCTCATCTGTTATACCTTTTTTTTTACGAATTCAGTTTGTTTGTAAAACAATGTAAACATGTGTCTTGACAAAAATTTGAAATAAGATCGGTAACGGAAGAATACTAAAAAATAATGAATTGTTAACAAAAAAATAGGGTAAAACACAAGTCATTAGAATAACCTTTTTTTGTGTACATATGATCGAGTGTGTCAACCCAGCAGAAATACAAATAATTGATTCGAAGAACTTTATTTCTCGCAATGTTAACTGATCTTTTTCATTTCCATGTCCTAATTTGCCATATCTTCCTAAACCACATGAGTATGCTTGTCCATCAATCAAGTAAATGGCATGATATTTTCCGAAAGAAACCTGAAAAGTGGTAGCAGCTACTAAATGCCGCAAATCTGCTTTATCAAAAGAGATATAGCAATTTAATTCATCTTTTCACAAAGGATGAGAGTTATCATTTTGATTCACCGTGAAGCAAGATCCGACCTCATTTAACACCAGGAACCAGTTACTGAAGAAATATATCCTGGTAAAGGATAGTGTTTCAGATAGAAAAGGATACTGAAAAACAAATAAGCACCTGAGTAACTTCCTTTCTGAAGTTAATCTCATCAAAAAAATGAACAGGGACAGGACTTGTGATAAGGTTTTCGTGCACAATACCCAAAAACATAGTACTGTTGTCACCATATGCATAAATTCGTGCTATAAAGAACCATGAATAAACCATTCACGGTAGTGTTTAGAGTGAAAAATAAACAACAGAAACGGAAAATAAGCAGGTATCATAACATTCAGATCGCTCAGAGATTATGCGATGATTCTGGCATTAGCTTGGTAAGATAACATGTATTTATCAGCCTAAACTCCACCAACTAAAACCTGCAATCGCTTTTTCGGACTATTTGAAAGTTTCTTCTACGAATATCTTAACGTGCTGCCCTCATCCAAATCAAATTTCCATGTCTTTCTGTGTTAGACAGAAAAGTTACATAAGCAGGGTAATTTCTCGCTTTCCCTGGGCTTCGCAAAACTTCTAAGAAATTCATATGCGTTAAATCCTCCAAGGCAGGAATAAATACTAATATTCTGATTGCGAAAGAGTACAACCAATGCTCGCAGATGTCCTTTCATTGCGGCAAATTGTGCGGGTGTTGATCCGTCAAAACTCTGCAAAATTAAAATGTCATTAAATAATCATAAAGCAAATCATGAATGAAATAAAAAATATGATCACTTTACCATGGATTCTTCGTAACCGAACACTTCGAGTAGAATTTCAAGAATATTAACAGAATTGTAATATGAAGTCAAATGAAGGCTTGAAGGTGGCCAAAGTGCTGGCTCTGCTCTACACTGTGACTGGACGCAAACCATAGCAATGACTCGTATTTGAAGAGCTAGTTCATCCGAAACACAATCAAACCTGCTCAAATCTTCTGAAGCGTATTGATTAAGAATGAATTAATAGATGGAACCGGAGGTAAAATTTTAATATCAAAAGATTTTAATACTTTCTTAAGCAATAACTTTCCATAATGATATTAAGTACCTTGAAAACCAATTATAAACATAATTCAATCAGATATATTTTTTTAATTTGATTCACTTTTTGAAGTTACAGCTATCTCAACCAAAGAGATCAAAATGGGTAAACAAAGGGAATCTGGTGTTCCAGATTATAACTATTTAAAATTTAAAATTAAAAGCAAGTTTGACTCCTCATGCTGTATCATCTATGATACATTAAATATCAAACAAGCTAATATTTCAAATGAGTAGTCAAACAGAAAATATGTCCATGAAAATAAGGACCAAATTATAAAAATTAAATAGCTAAATCTTACCCTGAATAAGCCCCAACAAACATCCTGACATGAACCTGTCGTCCAAACGCAATCGCTATAATTGAAATGTTTCGTTTCCGCTTTATTTATAATAAAGGATTATTTCAACACATTAGATCTAAGCATTTTTCTTTCAGAGAGATAATATGACTGCGTCGTTTACTATTTTTTATGCGACATCTGCACAGTCATTCCTAGTAATCTTTCATTAAATTATTATAAAGCTAGTATACTTGTTTTATCCTTATTGTTTAATCGAGATCTCTATTGAAATTGGTATGGATGAGAGATTGTGATGAAAAATTATGCAAAAAATATATGGATTAAAGCTCGTGCTCCAAATTAATGGGAGAAAAATGAATGTGAAGACAGTTTGATGTTGACATACCGGATATTTTTTTGCGATAGTTTTCCATAAAGTATCCATTAGGAACAAAAACCAGAAATAATTTCTCTCACAAAAATCCTTATTAATATAGGCTTATACTGATATAGATGCAACTCCTAGAAGAGAACAGCATTACTTGAGTAACAGATTTTATCAAATTACACTAACAAAAATAGCAGTCGTTCAGAATAATTTCAAATTATCAGCAATCACATGAAAACGAATTTTAGTTCTCTGGAAAACAACGGTAATCAGAGTATGCAAACCAACTACTCATACCTATTGACTTGAAATATGGCGGCAGCAGTAAATGGAAAAACTGCAACTTACTTTCAGAAATAATGAACCGTTATCGCAATCTCCCAATTCACTCTTGAAGAATAAACAAACACAACCGCACGCAGGCAATATTAACTTAGAAACTAAACCAAAGAAACTAAAATCAGCTATATCTAAGTCTTGCTATTACCTGGTCACTGTGAACTATACAGTCTCGCCTCGCTGTTCAGAAACTTCCACGTCATCACTCTTGCAGTTCGAGATTATCGATCAGTGACGTTGAAGACTGTATGGACTAAAATGAGTGCATTGGTTACGTGCAATTATGCACGAGGAGATCCATTCTCCGTTAAATCCCGCCTCACTTCTTGTCCATTAGAATAGTGCAAACTGTGATTCTATTGGTTCTGGTTGAAAGAACTACTCATCGAAATCAAGTGGAAATATGGATGCATAGGAATATGTGCTACAAGTGTTAGCATGTAGTTGTTGCTCATGGAAGATAGTTACATCGCTGTGAATGGAGTTTGTCGTATTTTCATCGAAACCAACTGCTCTCCTTCATCTCTCATTCATTGCATCCATGGCAACAGTTAGTGCGTCTTCTTTTAATTACGAATTTTTACTTTCTGAAATACATACATCCTCTAAATCCAATAGTCCATAGTGTAAGAATATGAAATTTCTTTTATGATAATATTTATTGCAGCTGCACTGATGGTTTGTTAGTTTTCATTCTAATGCAACCATTTTTCCAGGAACGTTATGCGTACATTTGAAGATTATGACGACAGTTTGCGTAATCCAGACACTATTTTGCATTCGTTACCGCCATATAATTACTTAAATTTCATTCAAGAATATCCTACAATATGTATCGTGATAACAGCGTTGTGTGCTATTGCAGTTTCGATGTATTTCTGGAGATTGTTCCGGCTGCGGCGGGAAGGTATGCTATAAAGTATGCTGTTGTTCTTCATCATTCCATTCAATTACTTCCAAATATACATTTCAGTATCACTCCATTCTCTCTGCAATGTCGACTCCTGTTTAGTAACGAATGATATATTTTGAAATAATGAGTCTCGGGAGTGAGTGTTCCATATTTATTACAGTACATCTTGGTCTACAATTCAGAATTCTGAAAAGTATCTTTTTGCTGACAGTAAGAGATAAAGTGCTTGGCAAGAATGCCATCGCAAGGAAATGGAATTCCTGTAAGCCAGGAAAGTAAAACCTTGTTTGAATAAGAAAGGTTAAAACCTCTCCAGTTGCGCATTGCCTAACACAAACGGAGAAAGCATGTTTATTCTCATTTTTCTAATCTGTTTTAGAAAATTTTGACAACATGTTATTTAATGGTCGGTTCAGCTCTTCAATTCTGAGCAAGGTACAGCAGGAAATTACGAACAAAAATACAAAGGCAGCGCTGAAAGTAGGCTTTTTGTTGTAATTTGTCGTATGCTACGTAATTTCAAGTTATTTGAGAAAAATATTTCACAACATCAGCTGTGTAGGTATTTTCTGAAATGAGTTTATGTTGTTTTCGAAGGATTATGGACTATTGGAAAATGGTGAAAAAACTGAAAAGTAAAAGTCACAGCATTTTTTTTTTCTTTTTAATAAATTGTGTGGAAATCGATTATGGCTATTTTACATGTATTGAAGGTATGACACATATTTAATGCGGCGTATTTACTACAACTTGATTAATGCTCTTTGCGTTGTTGGTTCTCTTAATTTTTGCGCTTTTGCTCTCATAATATTATTTAATAGCATGAAATAATGCATTCTAGCCAAGCAAAGAATCCTTCAAATCTGGAACGTCCAAGAATTCTCATAACATTGATTCGAATCAAGCAGTTACCTCGTTTAACGAATTATATGGAAAGCTAGCAACAGCAAATTTACGAGTCAAAGCTAAGAAATTGGAGAAAGCAATGACTGAGGAAGAGCGAAAAGAGGTACATATTTTTTGTGTCAGGAATTCGGAACTTTGCTAGATGTAAATAAAAATTCTTTTCCGCAGTTTGTCGCTTACTGCCAACTATTGAAAAGTTTTATGTTTTTTTTCTGTTATACTTCTCTTCAAAATTTATAGGAACAGTTAATACAACAAAAGCAGTTAGAGTCAATATGCGAAATGATCATGCAAGAGCCAGAAAAGTTTGGTTTGCATGATAAATCAGAAATCACGGAGCAGATGAAATTATATTCAATTTGAATAGGAGTCATCTGTTCTTATTTACTTTCCTATTCAAAATAACTTTTCTCTCTCTCTTGTTATATTTAACCTTTAGTTTAAACCTCAAATTTTTCACGGACAATTTGTTTGATGTAATTTGTAGGCAAATATTTCTCAGATTTACTAAGTTTAGAAAAATGTTGTCTGTTGATGTTGGGTTAATGCTTTTTTATGTGAATAATGACTAAAAAATAAGATGTAGTGTGATTTTCTAAACTATGTAAACCTCATTGTGTATTACTCCTATCTCATTGAAATAATGACTGGACCTTTGTTATAGCGAATGTATAGTGATAATTCATTTTACAGTGTTGCTAATCTTCTTAATATGTTTTTCTAATAGCAACTGCTATATGATTTCTCAAAACTTTGTAGAATAAATGCTCATATAAATGGAAGTGGTGTAAGAAGCAAAAAAAAAATGATTTCTTGACAATGATTCGATAACTGAGTTGTTTTTTTAGATATTATTGTTAGATAAATTCTGCTATAGTCAGTCAGTGATTTTTGAGCACAGTTGTCTTTCAAACAGGAGTATAGATAATTTTCTCATACCTTACTGAAATTTTCATACTGTTTTAAAGAAATTTAGGTTTCCCAGTTTATTTGTTTTGTGTGCTATTTGATGCCGACATATAACGGCTAAACGTACAGCCAAACAGGATTTTGAAAGTTGCGTAAATGGAATTTGATAAGTTTGAAAAATAATTTTATGCATGAAATCAGATTTCAGAATCATTTTTTCTGTTCAACAACTATTATATTATATATTTGATTCAGTGATCCGAGTGCATATCTGATTCCTTAGTTTGATTTTCATATTCAAGTGTCTTTAGCTCAACTCTTAAAATGTCGAACGCTATTTTACAAAATTTTCGACTTTTCGACGTATTTATTAGACCTAGTATGTTTTTTGGAGAAGGGAATATGTATAAATGAAGACACAAGAAATAAGAAATAATTGATGCGCCGTGAAATAGATCATTAATATTTTTTTAAACATTATTTGAGGAATACAAGAAGGGGGAAGAAATGGATAAATTGATGGAACATATGTTATTATGCGGATTTATATAATAGTTTTTGCCATAGGAAAGAATTGAAAATATATTCCTCTTTCAAATGAATTAACTGGCTGCTAGGAAGCGAGAAGAGAACAGGAACTGGTTCTATTCTTTCAGGGAATGGTACCTTCTGAAGGTTCTACTGTAATTTCTGGTTGTACCAATAGAATAGGTATTTCATCTTTAGTCATATTTATTGCAATATTATGAAATAGTTAATTCCTTTTAAACACTTTCGTCTATCCATATCAAGTTCTTAGAGCAGTCTTATTTTTTTCGTTGAATTATGCTCAGTTTCACATAATTTTTTGACCAGAATTAACGTATAGTGTTTTCACAAAATTTCCTTTAGCTAATTAAAGCCATAACAGCTAATTAAACCATCCCACCATAACAAGTCGAATAAATGAAACAGTTTGATGGCATTTTTTTCAGATTTGATGCTGCACTGATTGACAGTATCTCAGTTATTGAACAAATGATATATTTTTGTAATATTGAACAAATAAATTTGTAATATTTGGACTGGAATAAAAATAGTTACGGGAACTATTTACAACGTATATGAAGTGTGCACTGTTTAAATGAAGATATGATTTTCAGAATTTTCCTCTTTAAATTTTCGTGTCTGATGTTACTATAATCTTAATTCAAGTTGAGAAAAAGTCAGAGACTAATGAAAACAGGTAGGACAGTCGACTGATATCAATGCGTGTGAGTTGGTACAAATTCGTTATTTTTTAAAAAAATTTCAAATTCAATTCTGTCAATTATGAAAATTGTTCTGCATATCCCTTTTGGAAACACAGAAACAATTCGTATGACAGATTCAAAATGGTCTAAAAGTATTTTTTATAAGTACCTCTGATTCGATTGATATCAGCGGTTCGTAAAAGCTGCCACAGATCAATGAATTAGAGGGAACTGGATCGCTGGTTTGAAAGAAATCACTTGAGACAAGTGTAACAAATCGTTTTAGACTGATGCTTTTGGCGATGAATTGCTATTGAAAAAGTGGTATGTATCACTGTCTAACAGTGTTGTTTTCATGCACTGTATGTAACGGACGTTCATTTTGGAAGAGTTAATTTCATTTTTTTAGCTAAAATCCTTATCAGTGAAGTTAGTACTGATGATTCCTAAACGGTATAGGCATATTTTTTTCAATTTTCGTTTATATCTTCTATTCATAAGTCCGTTCAATTGATTTATTATTTTTCCCAGCTGCTCACAGTTATCCTTCTGGCGTAAGTGAAATTATAAATTTGCGCAATCAACATTATAGAAAGTATTTATTTTTACCTTTGATCCTGCTCAAATTATCATTTGAATAATGTTTAGCTTATTTTCCATTAAATTGTATTAGAGATCAAATTTATTTGAAGATCAACGATAATTTTTTGCTGAATAGTTGTATTAGTAATCAGTGCTACCGTTTATTAGTGGTAGTTACATTAGGACTGAAAGTATCAAAGACAGGAACTTGTCTTCTTAATGTGTAAAATGGTAATTGCAAACATAGAAAAGAAGAGATACTTTCAATTTACGTGAAAGATGCCGACAGTTTTCATGGCATATTAATACAATGTTATGTTTCAGTGTACAAAAAGAAAATAAGCTAAAGTAGGTTAAACTGAATCAAAAATTGCATTAAAAGCAGACTGAATTGTAAGAAGAACGAATTAATATAATTAAAAAAAGTTTTTTTGCATGAATATTTGATTTGATTTATTACGTCTTGCCTCTAAGGAATCTTTATTCATACAAATATAAAATACACGCAGTGCTACGTAGTAAGTGCAGATAGTGTATTTTGACTGCATGGAATTGTTATACAAAACGATTACAATTACGTAATAAGACGTGACTTTCTTCACATGTAAGAGGTGAAATAAATAAATAAATTAGTAAATAAACAAATACACTTATTTACAAATGTATTTTTTTAACGAAGATATTAATGAAAATAAGAAAGATTGTGACGGTAATCGCGATGTGAAAAGATGGGTGGGGAGACAGCTCCATCGTCTCCAACTCCTACTACTATTTCAGGTTTAGGACTCATTAATGAATTCATCAAAACTTCATTCCGGAACGTCTAATCTGTCGTGGCATTAAGTAAAAGCGATAAGAGGGAAGCAGTTACTAAGCCAATGCAAAACATCCGGCTGCATAAATGGGACGTTTTTCCATCACAATTATGGCTATAACCACTGGCAATAAATAATGGTAATACCAGTAAAATGAATAATTTGTTGGGGTTCAGTGAAATGAAAATCATGAATTAATCACAAATGTGTACACGAAAGTGTTTCGTTTTCTCAAAAACTATTTTGCGCTTTCGAAAATTTCTTGTCTTTTTATATTGATATGTTTTATTGCGCAATTTCCTCCCTCTTCTCATCAATTCCTTTTAATTACTTTTTCATTTTTTCGAAATTTAGTTATGAAAAGTTTGAGTCTTATTCATATTATTCACTTTAAGTTTCGCAGTGTTTAATCTTCCAATTGAACCGTGCTGCTTCATTTATCTACCTTCTTCCATTCAGTAGCCGCTCAACTATGTTGCTATATTTTGTCAAACTTCATAAACTTTTCATTTTCTTTTAAATATGGAATATGGAATACTTCAGAATTAAAGTATATCGATAAGCTAATAATAATTGCTAATGGCTTCACGATTTTTCTTTATTAACTTCCATAAATATCCCACCAATTTGCTTTGCTTTCGATTCTGATGGCTGTACTCTTATTCGAAAAAGGTAGCGAGATGCAGTTCTTTAAATTTTTATTTAAGTGAAATGCTAAATGAAATTTAGAAGATAACGTAGCTAAAATAGTTATAGCGATGTACATTATTCGAGCAATCTCTTTATCTTCGTGACTGTAGAGTTATAGATCAGAATTTTCGATTTTGAGAGTAGTTCCAAATAAACATTTCAAATTATCGAAAAGGCGGTCTGGCCAGAAATACTCGAAATGCTCATGATTGCTGTTTGTTGGACAACTTCAATATTGACTCACATTTTTATCTGTTGTTTGCACAACTCCGTCTACAAATGATCAGGGGACAGCGAAAGAGGCAAAACTAAAAAATGGTAACCTGTATGGATCAAATGGGAAGTTATAACTTGAGATTAATTTAAGATTGAGATTAAAGCCAAATATTTAAACGAAATTTAAAATGAACGGAATCGAAAGTCTTAGAGATAACTGAAATGATGAAACTTGTTGAGAAAACAAGCAAATATGGCTTTTTGTGTGCGACATAAATCTAAGTAATGAGTGATCATTACCTCCTCTTAAATTGCTATATAGTAATTATATGCATTCTTTTATGGAGTGAAGTGAACGGGATGGAGAGGAATGAAGTGAAGTACAATCAGTTCAACAGTAGAACACAAATAGGTCAATGTCTCTTACTGATACCTGCAGATGTCGGATTTTAATTTTATCACTGGTAACTGACTAAAATGCTAGATGCAAATTCGCTTAGTTCAGCTGGTAGCAATACGCATGATTTTATACGGCTTGAATGACGCGTGTAAATATGCAATATTTTTGAGTGATATTTGACCATTTTATATTTATACTGTAGAAATATTGGCTTTTTGTAATAATACTGCAATAGTAAGGCACTAGAAAGCAATAATACATTTCACTTTTCTAATATTTCAGCTGTAAGTGAGCTACTGTATATGCATACATTTTTAATCATCTATCAATCTGATAATAAGGTTTAAGCCATATTTGTTAAGCTTATGGCAAGTCTACAGAGCATGTCATTTAATTATGCGATGTTTCCAGAGCAATTTTAATAAACTGAACTTTTCTCAAAATAAAATTGCTGCATTTTGGAAATTGAGATTGATCAATGATGGGCTTAGATAATAAGTGGAAATAGTTTGATGTGAGCTTCATTGGAAAATTTTATTCATAGGTACATTTGAATTGAAGTAGCACGATACTTAACAAGTAGCTGCACTGGGTGCTTGAATTCAAATGACGTTTGATTGATGATGTTTAATCAAATTGATCTAAATTTTGCAACATCAGCAAAAAAATTTCTAAAATGATGATTAATGTCTCAATATATACTCATATCAATATTTCGATATGTTTATTCGATCGATTTTTTTTTGTCTAATTTCTTAATTTTTTGCATCTTTGTTTCGGTAGATTAGAAAGAACGCACTAATCAATAATGAGACATCTAATCAGTTAGATAAAGAATTTTGCGTAAATTAATCAAACTTGTAACCTCATCACTTAAAGCGAATTGATTCATTTATTCACATACTTTTTCATCATCGTTTGGGTAAACGAGAAATGTGCGATAACGAAAATACAAATTTTAGCAGCAACAATAATGCATCTGCGATATTTGTACTTTCTCAGTATATGTATTACTTTACTTGTGAAAGCAGAAGAGAAATCCGAATTGAAGAAAATCTTCGGTTATATATTCAAACATCCCAAAGAATGTAAGTATTCCAAGAGCTTTTCCATTTGTAAAGGATAAAGTCTTAAAAACATTAAAAATATGCAGAAAAAACGCTGTTGCCCTCGATAAGTTCAGAAATAATAAAAATTTACAAAAATAATTTCCTCACAGAATTTTAATGAAAACAAAATTAAGAAGAGAAAAGATGATTAAAAAGACTTGGTTTGAAGGAAGGCAAGAGAAAGATGTTCTAACGATACGTTAATGAAGTAGTGCTGATCAGTAAAAAATTCAAAAATCTCTAAGCAATTGATGAGTAAAAGTGGATACTTTAGTTTTTTTTGCCATCATCTATTTTCTATAATTTAAATCAAATTTTTTTGATTAGAAGCAATGATATAAAACGTCCAATTATAAATTCCGTATTCTTTGTGTTTTATCATACGTTTAATTTTTTTCAATTTCTGCAATCGATCGGAAATATGAAGAACAGTGTGTGTTTGACTGTATTTTCTGTTGCATAAAAATGTCCTTGACAACTTGTTATTCAATCCTTTGTTGGGATTTGTTAACAACCTTTCATATTTTTTTTGGAAGAAAATGGGTTCTCATTTTTAGAATCGGTTCATTCTTAATTACTTGATTGAATTTACTGATTTAAACGCTTTCTAATATAAAACTAAAAATTGTCACGTAATTTCTGCGATCTCGAAACAAAAAGAGTTATAATGTTGTTTGCTGATGTGGTGCTGCTGCAACTTCCTCAATCCTGACAAAATAATAAATCTGAAAAGCATACTCAATAAATCAGTGAGATATGTTGAAAACTGTCGATGTGTTGAAAACTGTCTTTTAGTCGACATTAATTAAAAGAAAATGATCCGTTGTTGACGACAACGCCTGATTACACACTAAGCAAATTTTAAAAATTAAACGAACCACACTCTAAAATTTAGCTTGTGCTTCATTTGATTATCATAATTTGAAATTTATTATTCGAAATCGGTATTATTTTTCTATGAATTTACTGTATGAAAAGAAATATCAATCAATATTCAGTGATAGATGGTTTCACCATTCTATTTCTATTTTGATTCTCTGGAAAACATTTCGGAAGATAAACGATGCAAAACTTGAAAAGTTAGAAATAGAAAAAATAGAAAAAAATTTTCAAGTTGACAAAGGTATGAAAAAAACGACTACCCAAAATTTCTGTTTTGTTTCGTTCTTTTTTTTTTGCTTTTTGAGAAATTCATAAAAAATATGAAAACTAAATTTCGGATAATCATATTTTCAAAGAGCACTGCGCATTAACTGAAATGACATTTATTTTGGTATTGAATTTCAAAGCTAAAAAAACACTCTTCGCTGCCATTTTGTGCTTTCTTATTACACTAAAACAGTGTGTGGTCCAAAAGATGTTTTCTTTCAAATGTGCAAAACGTAAAGAATGTCTGTGAGTCATAAATATTTCAAGCATTTAGCTCCACCATAATCTTTGGCCAAAATGAAGGGGTAATTATGAACGGGACAATGTTGGAACAAATTACAAATCAAAGTCGATGTCTGCTCAGAGAATATATGATTTGAGTGCTTGAAAACTTCGGAAAGTTAAAATTTGTAATAGATGATTTCAAGTGTTTAAGGTGGTGATCCGTTTGAAAACGACAAAGAGTGGATACCCGCGCATCGATTGTGTACTACCAAATGCGATATACGCACTGACATTTGCATGAAAAGCGTTAAAAACGACAAACAGAGATGCCAAAAATGTTTGCATTCCCTTTTTTTCCAATTTTTTTCTTTAAATTGAAGTTCAACAAGACACTAGAAAATGTAGTAATTATTTAATAGTTCATTTCAAAAATTCCACTTTGCTTTTAATTCCTGTACTGATCTCAGCTCTGTTAACACATCAGAGAAAAGGTATCTTCTCATAATACATTATTTTCTTAGTACAGCATCGGAAATTTAATTTAAATATATCTTATAAACATCCCAATTAGGCATAAGTTTTTATATTACTTTCAGCTATTCAAATCTTGAAATTTATAGTTCTAAATATTACAAGAGTGAACAATAATAGCATAGGCATCAAAATCGAACTAATATCTGCCGGTAAAAATATCAATTTCGTTTATTAGGTTGGTTGCATGTATGCGTAGCAGCAGCAGTTTAGCTAGAATAAAAGCATAATTTTGCTGAGTTTGATCAGGATTATGAAGGAAGAAGCAAACAGCATATAACGAAAGCATGCTTAGGATTTCCAAGGCCCTCTTAATTATCTAATACTTTCGGATCTAGAACTATTGATACAGGATTTCATACGGAATATAATTTGAATGAATTCAAAATTGATTTTTTCAGTGCCTGCAGAATGCGTAAAAGGACTGAGGAATCTGTGATTATCTTCTGCTTTCCATCACCTTTCCTTTCGGTTATTGAAATAAAAGAACTATTTTTGTTCTTATTTGTGCCGACAGGCAACTCCACTAAATCTTTCCAATGTGAACTTGTTAAACAGTAAAGTGACAGCAGTCATGACCTGCTGAACTATGGATTTTTGGATGCAATTTCTTTCATCAAATCTTCTATAAGAATTAACCGTTACAGACTTCAAATCACATCTATCAAGATTTTTCAGTACTGTCAACCTCTCAAAGTCAACGGATTTTTTCCCCACCCCTATGTATCACGGTGAGACTCAAAAATCTTCGGGTATTGCATTCAAAAGTCATTCGAAACACAATATTTATTCAAATTCCGATTACAAATAGTAAATAAAAGTTGCAGCAAAGTGGTCAAGTATAAGTGTGATTATGTACTGTATAACGCGCAAAGAAAATGCTACAAACTGCATTCAAATTAAGAAGTAGAGCATAATAATCACAGAGAAAACAAAGATAAAACTCCGAGAGTTTTGGTGATATCGAATGAAAATATATTCATAGTCTATTATATTCCATAAACAGATTAACTTTAAGAAAAAAGCATAGTACATTTAAATAAAACTCGAAAGCCTGAAAACTTTCAGAACAATTCGAATGAAAAGAAACTGTAGCTTCTCAGTTAACGTGAAACCAACACAATTTTCTAAAAATTTTAAAGCATATTTTAAGATTCCGACAAATCATGCCAAAAATAACTGTCGAATTTCTAAAAAATCTTCGCTTCTAAGGTCTAACGAAAAGGTTATATCAGACGTCCTGCATAATTCACAGGATATTCATTAAAACGACGAAGTACTAAAACCTGAGAAGCGATTAATGTATCATGTCGATAACCAAAGTGATTAAAAAACGGCTTGTTACAAATTATCATAATAATTAACGGTAACATAAATTAATGTAAGAACTGTTTCAAAAGAAGAATGCAGCCCTACCCCCAGGGCCCCAGCCTTTGTAAACAGCTCTGTAAACACTCTCATGAAGTAGCCATTAACAATAATCGGAATCACGTCAAAATTGTAACAAAGAAAAACTGCAGAGCGAAACATCGGAGCAAAAAGCATCATTATCTGCAGGTATTGGTGGCACTAAGAACATTTTCATTTTCTCAACGAAATTTTATCACCATTTTACGAGTTCCATTCAACGAAAAATATTACAAATGTTCAAGATGCAATAATGCAGTATGGAAGAACTGGATGCAATTTAATACCAAATATATTAAAAATACACTTTAAAAAGCATTGAAGTTTAGGATGATTATCTTCGGCGTGACAAAAGTGGATTGATTAGTAATTTGAAGAAAACAAAAACAACTTGCCTCCCATCAGCAATGTTGCTGTGTAAGATATTGTATAAAAATGACTCAAGTCTTTTCAAACGTTCAGAAAACTCCCTTTAAAAAGAATCTCTATTTTGAGCTCGAAATTAAACCCAGGAACTTAGGTTTTGTTATCAAAAAATGAATACGTGGGATTCTCATAACCATTCACCTGCATTCCATTAACATGTCGCTCCCCTGGAGTGCAAACATCAACCTGAAATTTGGAAAATTTTTTAAAATAAGTCCATGACGGTGTTAATTTCTTCCACCAAATTTTAAAGCTTCAGATTGCTATCAAATGCAAAATCTTGCTGTAAATTAAACCGTGTTGTTTTAAGATGAGAGTATGGAAATATATGAAAAAAGGGACCTCGATAAAGCCACGACGTCGCGGTCGTTGATGAGCTAAAACGATGGCAAAAACGATGAAAATGACAGTAGCAGTAGATACAAAAATTAACAGCAAATTCGTTGAAGTCCTGAACACATTTGTCGAGGCATCTTCCGCACTCACCTGCAGTATAAGATAATCACAAATTATAGAAAAATGATTGACAGCCACCAAAATACAAGTTGCATAGAACAAACAATGGAACTGTGTATAGTAGCATAGCAGTATATGGCGAGAAAAAAAACTAAACCTTGAAATGCTGTAGTGGCTCATGTCTAGCATAAGATGGTCTTGGTGGTAAGTCGTGCACCCTAACCGGCTCACTTACAATCGGTTCAATTTCAACATGAAGTTCTCGTTCAACTGATTTGCTGTTCGATAAAGGTTCTTCATCGGTATCTCCGACGTCGTCCTAAAATTGATTTTAAAGAATTACAAATTTGCCTGCAAATGAAAAAAGCTCTTATCTTTGTTATAGGTTTGCTACACGGTTTACAGCAGATCTGTTTCAAAAATAAAGCTGTAATAGGTCTTTTGAATTTTCGAAGGGCTCTGGAACATGAGATTAACCTCATCATCCTCATCATCATCATCATCATCAATTTCATAGACAGTGGGCTTGTTTTTGTCGAACTTGTTGCCAGGTCTTCTCTGTACAATTTTTTCTATTACAATCTTTTTGGTATTATCGTATGACTGCTTTTTCGCTTCAACGCTTGCTCCATGGTCATCATCCTCATCATCATTGTCATCTTCTTCATCCGAATCACTGAGCATTTTCTTTAGCTGCAAAGTTAGATGTTCCATACCATTACTGCTACAATTAATATATTTCACAAAAACTGCACATCCAATTTTCCACAAATTCCACATATTATTTTATTAAAATTTCTCATTAAAATTAAAATTTCTTAGTACAAAAAAAATGCAAAGAATCGACAAATCTTTCAAAGTAGCTAAATAAATAAAATTCTGGACATGGAAACATCTGAGGATAAGATAAAACTTAGGATATCAAAGACTGAATAAGATACTGGGCTTTTTTAAATAAATAGTTCCTCAAAAGCAATCATGAATAGAAGAAAATAAAAGAAAAAAAATTAAATCTCATCTACAAAATTATATATAAAGTATTGGAATTTACTCCAGAAACAGTGGTCGTTGATAGTGTCGTTTTACGCGATCGTGATGGATTGTGTAAGCGATCGTATGAATCCTAGAAAAACGATAACCTAGAAGCCAGCTGCAGGGTTAACAATAATCTATCGACTACTTTCCTTGTGAAACAATCGTTCCCCGTTCATTTTACCTTTTTTTTTCAAAATTGTAATAATATTGAAGAAACTATACACAAAAAAGAAACAAAAAGCATAAAAACATAAGTTTAAGTAATGGCACTGATTAAACCATTAGCAAATACATATTAACTTCCAAAACATGTAGATACTCACCTTATAGTAATGTACAAGTTTAATATTTTGTTCATCTCCACCAATTAAAGTATATTCATCTCTCGTAACTTCTGGTGTGTTCTCTTTACGATAATCAGTCCAAAATTCAACTGAAAATATATTGCTCAGAGAGGTGGGTTTTTCCACATATAGCTCTTTTAATACGCAGTTTTGTTTACTACTCGGAAATGTTAATCATTAAATCTATCAATAATCACAACTGATCAACATTTCAATATAATAAAAATAAATATAGAATGAAAATAAAAGTAACGTTTTTTTTGAGTGTATGTCGCAAAATATATGATGATTAAGATATTAAATGCTTACTAGCAATCGGTCGAACTTGTCGTTCAAGTTCCGGAAAGTCTCGAAGCATTGCAAGCGTACCATTTATGCGAAGATCAATATAACGCAATTGATGTATTAATATTGGTTCGTATGTTTCGGCTTCGTCCTGGAGAGTTGCATATTCGCTTACATTGTCTTTTTATATCAAATAAACGCTTCAAACATATATTAGAAAGAATATTTTTGTGTGAATTAAAAAAGGGTACATCTCATCACTAAGCAAAAAGAAAATCAAGGCAAAAGTAATAATTACTCGATCAGTACGTAGCAAATGCCGAAAACGATTAATCATATGTGTTCGATCTTTTTCCTCAGCGCGAATGTAAGTCTATAATAACAACTTTATTTAAGACTAAATACAGAAGATAAATTTCGATCTGATGAATTAAAATAGTATTACCGTGGAACTCAAATCATGAGTTGTTTACTTCTTATTAATTCGTCACACTTCTAAATAAAACTAGTAAAGGTAACCTTCAGTGTCTTGAGTACATTGTGTTTATTTGGTGCACCCACTTGCACAGCTAAAGCCGAACGATAATCATGAGTTGCCTGAAAATTAAAAGAATTTCTGCATTATTTCCACTGTTGCTAATCACCAACAAAACGGATCTTTATTCTCGCCACCTGTTGTAATTTCTATAAAAAAAGAAAATGCTCTTCGCCATTCTAATCTAAGTCTATCAGTTTCTCTGATATTCTGGAATCAGTCATTAAATGGACAGATAAAGAGGATGGAAATTATTTTTTACTTACATAGCAAAGGGACACAAATAATGACTAAGCGAAAACTATGTGAAAAGCAAAACTGCGGTTCTCATCATGGGAATTATTCGTTCTTTCGCTCTAATTCACTGGTTTTCTTCAGTATATCACTAGTTAAAAAATGTATGTAAAGAAAACTTGCATATGTATGTAAAGAAATGTATGTAAAGAACCTGTCTCTTCTTCTCATTAAGATGCGCTTGCACTCGTTCTTCATGAACGTCCTCAAGTTGCTTTTTCTGTTCCTTATTCTCCTCTTCTAGTGAAGCAACCTGGAATCAAAAACAAATTGCATGAAAATCTCTTCATTAATCAAAGCTTTTCCATTAGCAACAGTTTGAAGTAAACGAACCGTCTTTTGGAATCGCGAAGTCATTTCCTTCTTGAATGCTTCAGCACCCTTTTCGTCCGTCTTCTTCATTTTCTTGTAACGTGCTTCAAGATCGGACCATTCCCGCATAACCTGTATAATTTGTCGATTACTATCAACGTCAAATAAATACTCAAATTACAACTGATTATCCGCTCATCTGCTTGGTCATGAAACTGCAGAATCCGCAAAAATACCTTATTAATTTTAGCGCGATGTCGTTTTTCTACACGTTGCTGGGCTTCCTTGAAACGTTCATGCTCGTTGACAGGATCGGACATCTTGAAATATGGATCTTGTAAAACACTCTTGGCTGAAAGATCCTTTCCGTTATCTAAATGGAATATATTTAAATTAAAAACTAAAAATTAGTCCATCATTTAGCCAAAATTAGAAAAAAAAGCTAAAATTTTCACATACCATCATCGGAATCTTCGGCATATTCACCGTCATCATCACCATCGTCATAGTCATCATCATCATCATCTTCAGTTTCTTCTTCATCCACTTTCTTATTCTCTAATTCTAAACCCAACTTCATCAAAAAAAAGATCTTTAGCAGCATTCTTGACCAAGAGAAGACAGTTGAATTCATATTTATATTCTGTCATGAATTTTCAACATTAATAAAGCAAGTAACAATAATACCTTCAATTTTATCATCCCCTGGACAGCAAACAAATTCAACCCCGGTGAAAAGATCTAACCCACAAGGTTCAAGAACTGCAAATGAACGCACTGCCATTCGCTTATCATTAACAATCTAAAATTAAAGATCATTCAAAAATTGTGAAAAAACACTAAAAGGCTTAATATTCATGACATCTTAAAAAAACACTTAAAACTCTTGAAATTTTCCGGAGGCGAATTAACTGAATTTTTTAAAAAAGTGAATATGTGTAAAACCGATAAATTGACCTTCGTTTTGCATTGTTTATACGCAGCATCCTTCCAGTGCGCATAATCATTGCATGATTGACGATCATTGATATGTCCAAATCGACAACCATGCGGTACTTGAAGCGCTTCCGAGTGAAACTCGCCAACTAAATATAAGGCAGAACTAGTTCTCTTTCCTGATCACCTGATTAGATAAATTATCTGCAGGAACCTTACATTAGTGTCTAAGTCCTGATTCCTTCCAAGAAGTTTTCTTTTTTATCTAACGCAAATCCAAGGAAAAAGAATGGAATCACACGGTGATAACATAAAAACAAGCTTACTAATGCACTGGTAGGGCCTCACAGTACGTGTCCATTTACATGGTGAGCCCTGCTCACGACACCACCCAGGAATTTCTACTTCATGTGAATACTCCACTATATTCGTAACGTCCAGTTTTGGATACGCCTAAAAAAGATATCAAATATTTTTATTAATGCAGGAATATAAAATCACCCGCAGCTCGAATGTTTTTCTTAGAGCTTTTCAACTGCTGATTTCGAGCTGTAGTAATTATTTGCAACTATGTTCCTCCACTTATATAAACTATATCCCTCTTGTACAAAGGATTTGCATGTAAATTGCTGAACTTATCACAGCTGCAAAATACAAGTCTTCAATCATCGCTTTACAAGATCATTACCATGCAGATGTGATTTTTAATAAAAATAAATAAATTTACGTCAGTCATATACAACCGTTATGCATATTGTCAATAAATTTTGATTTTCCGTCCGCAGCATATAAAACTATTTCGTTAAGTAACAAACATAAACAAGTAATATTTGTCTTTTTTTGAAGAGTGTTGATTATATTTTGGAAAATCCAGCAACAAAAGAAAATACTCTCACCGAATAAGAAGGACTATAATCAGTTTTCCATAATTTAAAAAACAAAACAAAACGAAAACGAAAGTGCGAATATACAAATGGAATAATATAAAAAGCTGTCATCCAATTTTCAGAAAATCGTTCCAGCAACGAAATGGACCAACTGCAAACAATATTACAACTGCTAAGAAAATAAAAATAATGAGAGCGACACAGTGAATCAATTAAAAAAATCGGAAGCGGCAGAAAGATGTTCAAAGAAAAAAAAATGTTTCGGAATGTAACAATAATAATTTATTTGAACTGTTCACAAAATCAGGAGGTAAACTTAGAGTCTTGAAAATCAATATCTAGAAAATATTTCTTGAAAAAAACTGTTACGTAATTAATTGTATTCGTTCCGTCAATCACAGGGATTTGTCTCGAGTTAGAAAAAATCTTATCTGTAGCAACAAAAACTGTTTAAAATCTAGCAAACTTTATTTCGGTCAGATAAATTTGAATTGCAAGACCAGTTCTGATAAGAAACAAATATTGAAGTTTCTGGAAAAAGACCTAAAATTTACAAGTAATCAACTAATACCCCCATTTCTCCAGACGTCAAATGAAAAGACACGTTCAAGTTAAAACTTGAACGCGTCCTTTCACCTGATAAAAAAAAAATAAATCTATTTTTTAAAGATTCTAAAAAAATGAATGCTGATAGATATGAAAATGAAAAAAAATAAGTGCACTTACTTTTCGGCAATATTTTAATATATCGAGCTTTCCACTGAGGCATGTTGCAAGAGTGCTCGGATCGCTCATCCATGTTCCATCTTCACCCATGAATCTGTTTCGGAAACCACACTCGAATGCGACCAGCGGAACAAAGTTTTCGTGCTTCTTTTCTTTCCGTAAGTCCATGTTCGCAGCAACATTCTGAAAACGAGAGTTAAATTATTATAAGATCTTAAAATTTCTACAGAAAATTCCAGTTAAAACTGGCATAAAACACTTTATAAATAACACGTCCATGATGATTGTAAAGCTAAACACTTTTTTTTTAATACATTTGCAATAACAGTCCAAATAAGCTGAAACGTTATGGAAATTTCAAACACGACGGTTGGAAAAACTGTCCTAAATTGCAATACTCAATTAAGATAATTACAATCTCCTCACCCTTTAGCTCTTATTAAAAACTGATAATTCCAATCTTTTTTATTACTGCCTTTCCTTTCTCGAAATAAGCAACAGAGAGCAGTCTCCAATTTAAAGTTAACACCATTTTTAACTACTATTCCGGCCTTATGAAGAAGGAAACAAAGCTTTTGCATGAATTTCTAATGGCTGTCGGCATAATGCTGCAGGAAGCTTAAACCATAATTAAGATAATGCTTGATAAATATACGATACATGAATTTTAGCAAAATTTTGATACTGAAAAAATCACGCTTGCAAAATTCATACCTACCATTTATAACTGTAAATGTAGATTGAATTTAACTAAGGAATGAATTTCTGCACAACGGTTTCTTCGACTGAAGAGCGACAACAGAAAGCATTTGCAGGCAAAATTTGACAAAGAAACTAAGCTATCAGCCAATCTGTTCTGAAGTGTCACTATTCCATATCTATTGGATTTTGTATTTACCATTAGCAAAGTCAAGTAAAAGTAACAAAATCGTCCAAATCTTAGAATAGCAATTTCTGAGGGCATTAGATAGAAGCGTCATACACTGCACAAACTCCAAGCTTCCCTGCCTTTGATAGCCTTATGAACCAAATCATACCGTTTCACTATGCTTCCGACATCCTGGCCAAGTGCACTGCTCAACTCGTTTTATCAACTACTTCTTAAATATAAAGCATCTACACACCTAACTACTTTGGTTAAAAGCTATGTACTTTCTTGATTCCAGAATGATTCTCAATTTTCATTCTCCATCAAAAAGAATGATAAGATATCCTCTGATATGCTTTTTAGTACATTTCAAAATTTGCAATCTAAATGTATTTTAAAGAACAAATAAATAAACAGACCTCGATATATGCATATAATGAGAACTGTACGATCAACATCAGAGACATCAGCAAACCATCCCTAGTCATCTTTCTGCAAAAACAAAGTTCCATGAACCGTACACTAAAATAGACGAAAGTTCAAATTCAATAAGCGCTGCTATTGGATTTACAAATTCAAAAACAAACAGTTAAAACATGTAACCACCAATAAAATATAAAATACTGTTTAAAGTGATGCAACCTATTGAT